ATACATATACATTTATACAAACACACGCTACTAATATATATATATATATATATATATATATATATATATATATATATATATATATATATATATATATACATATATACATACATATACATATATATATACATAAGTTTATATACATACGCACAGACACACACTCACTCACACACACACACACACACACACACACACACACACACACACACACACACACACACACACACACACACACACACACACACACACACACGTACATATACATATGTATGTGGGCGTTTCCAGATAAAGAGGAAAATTCTGATATCTGATAACCAAACTTTCCTTCCTCTTGCAAAGCTCAAACCAAACGTCCTGCAGATCGGAAAATATCTTTGGCACCTTTTGTGTTTACTCTGCTAATAACTTAAAAAGAAAATAAAAAAAAGAAAATCTACGTACGACATTACGTTTACCTTGGAATTAATTAATAATACACTGCTATTACGTAATTCAGTTTCTCTCACATATCTACATTCCTGGATTTAGCCTCCGCGATGACGTCATCTCTCTCGACGTGAGGATATATTATGGGAAACAAAATGGAAAGCGAGAGAGGCTAAGAGGAAACGAATGGAAGGCTTAGAATACGACACAAAAGCAGAGGCGAGCAGAGGCATATCTTGCACTGCAAACGACGTCTGCAATGTGCAACGTTTTTTTAATGGATGGCAGTGGGTGGCGGTGATGGCGCTACCTTCTCTCCCTCCATCTCTTCCTCCCTCTCTCCCCCTCTCTTCCACTCCCACCTCCCTCGCTCTCTCCTTTCCTTCCACTTCCACCTCTCTCCCCCTCCCCACCCGCCTTCCCTCTTCCACCTCCCTCCCACATACTTCCCCTTTCTCCCTCTGTCCCGCCTACTTTTCTCCTTCATCCTATTTTGTCCTTCCTTTTACCCCCCCCCCCCCTTCCATCATCCGGCTGTCTCTCCTCTTGAATCAATATCGCCTCATTTCTTAATAAACATCGACCGGATCGATTTCTCTATTAGGTAGACGGACGAGAGAGAGCGAGGAAGGGAGAGAGAGAGAGAAGAGAGAGAGAGGGGAGGGATAGGGGAGAGATAGGGGAGAGAGAGAAAGAGAGAGAGAGAGAGAGAGAGAGAGAGAGGAGAGAGAGAGAGAGAGAGAGAGAGAGAGAGAGAGGAGAGAGAGAGAGAGAGAGAAGAGAGAGAGAGAGAGAGAGAGAGAGAGAGAGAGAGAGAGAGAGAGAGAGAGAGAGAGAGAGAGAGAGAGAGAGAGAAGAGAGAGAGAGAGAGAAGAGAGAGAAGAGAGAGAGAGAGAGAGAGAGAGAGAGAGAGAAGAGAGAGAGAGAGAGAGAGAAGAGAGGAGAGAGAGAGAGGAGAGAGAGAGAGAGAGAGAGAGGGAGAGA